TTACCTCAGCTAGCTCAGGCTATCTCTCAGAGGAGTCTAGCCTTTTTTGGACAGTCACGTTACTTAAACTACTCCTCTGATAGATAGCCTGAGGACGCTGTCCATCAGCCGCACTGCTCTGCTCTTACTTTCTAGTGTTTTGTGTGTGTGTCTGTCCGTTTGGCAAAATCACAATCCATCAATAACTACATCAAAACACGACCTGTGTACTCCAAAATTCAATCAATTGTGTATTAAAGTATGCTCTATCTCGTAATTGATTTTTTTTTTACATGCCCATGCTTCTGTCTGGTGAAAAACGCTAATATGTGGTGAACTAGACTGCGCTGAAATCGTCGTCCAGCCGTCGTTCTCGGGTTTACAGTCGAATGAGCCTAGAAAACACTCATTGGATGCCGTATAACGCCTTCCTCAGTCAGTATTCACGTGAATATCTCATTATTGAGCACATTTTGTTTCATATTCCCCATGCGAAGCAAGGCGAGCTTTCGAAGGCGGCGTGGAGAGACTGTGGACATCGCCAGAGATCTCGTCCACGATGCTTATAGCACCACGAGCATGCTGGCTATACAGCGGTTGGTCGAAGGTGCAAGAAACGCGCCCGAGGAAGTGCAGAAGGGCATCATCCGGGCTGGCCTAGACCGCCATCTCTACCCATTCGAGCCTCGTCAGAAGCAGGTTGATGCTATATGGCATTTAGTATTCAAGAAAGAGGACCTTCTTCTTGCAGCCAAGACATCTTTCGGCAAAAGTGTGATATTCCAGGCAGGGCCGTTGTTTTGTCGCGGTGGCATCGCCCTCATCATCATCCCTTTGGATCGAATTGGACAGGAGCAGTGTATCAAAATCCAAAGGCTTCCGGGCGCGAGATCCGTGTTCATCAATGGCAGAACAGACAAGACCCAGAAATTAGCCCAAGAGATTGAAATGGGAGCGTATACTCATATTATCATGGGCCCAGAGATTGCCGCAGGTTGGTTTCGGTCAATAGCTAGCAGCCCGACTTTCAAGAAGCGTGTCTGTATCGTGGCTGTAGATGAGCTCCATTTAGTGGCCCTCTGGGGAAGTGGTATCCGTCCACAGTATGCACAGCTCTCTCTCCTTCGCCGACGGCTAGGAGGAGGTGTCCCTTGGTTTGGCTGCTCTGCCACCCTGGACCGGACGACATTAGACACTGCGACAAAAATGACAGGATTCCAGGCCAGCTGCGAGTTCTTCCGATCATCCATTGATAGGCCAGAGATCAAGTTGATCGTCGAGATGATCCAACCACGGACAACGAAGAGATTTACAAGCCTCTTCTTTGTTCTGCAGGACGCCATCATAAACGGCTCGCCAACGCCGGAACGAATTCCGAAGACTATAATCTTTATAGACTCCCGACGTGATATCCAAAAATGTGCGGAATGTCTGCGAGGCTGGCTACAGAAACTCTCAGCTGGGGCCGTCGGGGCCCACGACTGCAAGCAGATTATCCAGGTCTACCATTCACACACTACTCCAAACGACAAGAATGCTATATACGACCAGTTTTCCAAAGCGGACTCTAAGATCCGAATTATGGTGGCCACAGAATCATTAGGAACGGGGGTAGATCTCTCGGATGTCACACGAGTTGTCCAATACGGCTTCCCTCTGGAACGACTCTTATGCGTCCTTATCCAACGATTTGGCCGTGCAGCTAGGATGGCTGGCATTAAAGGAGAGGCCATCTTCTTGGTGGAAAGTTGGGCGATAGGTGACAGGATCTTATCGACAAGACCGGCGCTTCTATCCAGAACTCAGACGCCGTCGTGTTTAAGACGGCCTTCCAACACGAGCCGGTTAGCTCAGTCGTACTCTGCTGATCCAGGAGTGGGCGGTGACATCCTAGATGATGAATCGGATATTGCCGTAGACGCCATTAAATATGATATACCAGGAGAGCAGCACCGACGCAAAACGGAGAGAGAACGCCGAACAGACCTACACGATGACTGTCCGGCGCTATTCAATCTTGTTAATCGATCCGCATGCCTACGCCGAATCCTAATGGATTGGCTACAAGAGAGTCTATCGGATCCAGCATCTAGGTTACCGGCTCCTGAACCGCAGGAGTGCTGTAATGTCTGTAACCCAGATCTGGCGCGGGCGGTACCTTTCCCATGGGATACCACAACTGGTCTTCGTAAGCCCCAGACTGGAACGGCATCCGGCGCATTTTATGACCGCCTGACCCTCTGGGGAGATAACGTTGTGAATTCGGCACATCGGATGATGAAGCCAGAACTCTCAGCACGGTTATTCGCGCCGAAGGAAGAGTGGATATCAATATCGAGAGAGTATACGAACATCCGCTCGGCTGCTGAGTTGGAGAAGTTTACGAAATCGGCTTGGATGAAAGACCATTCCCATGAGCTGTTCGAAGAGTTCAATAAAATCAAGTCCTATGTAGTGAGGAACTGGCCCGGACGCTATACACCAGGAACCGCAGCGGCAGCTCAAGTTCTAATACGAAGGGCGCCATTCGAACACGCTCATCCCACAGTCGAACAGCAAGTATCTCAACACAGAGGTCGGAAGAGAAGATTGTCTATAGAAGCAGAGACTCTGATAACTCCTGATCAGGAACGAAGAGTATTACTCGCGCGTGAGCGAGAAGAGTACGTTTCCTCGCTAGAGCGGATCATTGCTCAGGCAAGGGAGGTGTCAGCCTCGTGCTCTTCCCATCTACCTACCCTACCAATGACCATAGTATCAGCGAACTCGTCATTTACATCTATGGGTAGGTTGATGACATCTACAAACGTAGATTATTCTTCTGCTAGGTCAGGTGTTCTCGAAGACGGCGAGAATGAGGTATCAGGTGTAATTGATGGTAATCGGGCCTTGAAACGTCCCATATTAACCCGGGGGGGGGAAGTAGAAACGAAACGGGTCGTCCTCGGCGTTCTAGACTCTAACGCAAGGTGAAGCCCTCGCAACAAGAAAGGGAATAATAGCCGCTACAACCACAGCGAGTGGACATTATAGATAGGTTACTCTGACTCGACGTCCGAAGGTAAACCCCATTCATGGGCTACATCTCTGTCTGCCAAGGGCTGGCGACGTCTGTTAGCACGAGACTAGAAACTCCATGAGCATGCGCATACCAATATCGCCATCGTGTCGCTATTAGGATCTAAATCAGCCGTGGCTCCTCTCCTCTCATAAGGTGGTACGACTATTCGATCTTCATCTCTTATGACCTTTGCATTAAACACCTCCAATTTTTGAGTTGCTACTCTTCCGAGCCCGATCGTATGTATGTCTGGTGCTTGATGTCTTGCCTCCCTGCCGCCGTCATAAAATTTAATCGAGTCGCATGCCAGCTCAAAGGCTAATGTATGAATATCATCCATCGCGGAGGGCACAGAATGTGTGGAGTTGCCCTTCCGGGCGAATGCGTCCTCTACTGCCCTGCGTAGACAAACAGTATATTCTGCCGTTAATGAGGTAGTCTTGAACAGAGCATCCAATCCGAAAGTCGACGTTCGACGGGCCCAAAGCTCTCTTTTCAGCTCCAGGTTCAGATATTCAAGGCTACGATCGACTTCTTGCCAGGTGTCCCGACAGCCATGCGGGTTAACGAGGCTATTCGAGAGTATTGCGCGCCGAAGCTCCTTGTCACAAGCTTTGGTGCTGGTGAGCCGTTTTAGATAGAGCATTTCGAATGCGTAGTTTGATTGTCCAGTCCCCTCGAAGTAAAAGCAACAGACACCAATGACTCGGTCGATGAGTCCTATATCTCCGTTTTTGATGCCGTACTTCAAGGTCTTGTACACAACCATTTGTTGAAGGTATCGAGCATGACTAAGGAACTCCTCATCGACTGTATTGTTGGTATGCTTCTCCTTCGATGGTCGCCAGGCTTCCGGCTCAAATGCGGATCTGCGAACATCCTCCACCAGTTCCATGAACCCTCTAGTATCCATGTTCCGAATTGCCTTGTCAACCCCCTCTTGATCGGAGATATCGATGCCGTACTGCTCGAGGCGAGTATAAAGTAGTCCAACAACTCGAGCGTCGAAACTGTGAAGCACTAGCTCTTCTAGAACCTGAAAAGCTGCACGGTCCGCTGGAATATTCTTTCGTCCCCAGAAGTTGATGTTGTGATAGAGAGTTGAAGCGTCCTGTTGCTCCATGTTTCCGTAATGTGTCTTTTGCATAAGCCATAGAAAATTCATACGCAGGTGAAAGAGAGCAGCGACTCCTATCAGCCAGTCTTTTCTATCATACGCCATAGACGCGTCGACTTGCTCAGCCTGCATAGATCGGATAAGTGAAGAGGTTTTTTGATCGCCAAACGCCAAGAACAGACGGTTGTCGAATTCTTTATTATCTAGTTGGAATTGGTGCTTGTAGATGCTCTCTATAACCTCGTAGGAGCCATCTAGAGTACCTTCGTTGAAGAGAATCGGACCGAGCGTCTTGCTGTCTGTCTTTCGAAGCTCGAGTAACTCGACTGTTGGCATAGCGGGGTAAGGTATACCGGACGTAGAGAAGATAGATTTGATCGCGAGTGGATATACCGATCGAATTGCCTCCGCTATAAAGTAGGTATCAATCTTGGCGGCGGTCTCGTCATATACTGCTGCACCAGGAGAGTATAGAAGATCCTCTATTGTAAGTGGAACCTCGCGGTGCAGCATTGACTGCTTTAAACCACCAGAGGGGATATCGGCGCCTCTGAAAACCTTTCCCGTTGTCACAGAGCGCATTTCTGCGTGATTTGAAATGAGCTGGTGCTTAATACCTTCTCGATAGTCGAAATTGTCATACACAACACAGGCATCTAGTTGCTGACCATATCGACGGACCGTTCCCTAGTTGCAATCAGTCGACGTCTATGCTGAGAGGCGGTGAAGATGCCTTTGCTTGTTCTGCCACGGTTTCGAGATGTCTGTGGACTCCCTTGTAGCCTTCACAAACCCCAAACTGGTGAAGAAGATCGAGGATACGCCGTTTCACGCCATTTGAGTGCAGAAAGGCACCAAATACGCGGGGAAACTTGTTGCTCCCTTCCGACGCCCGAGAATAGCAGAGAATCGACGTGATTATCGCAATCCTGTGGTTGAATTTGACAGGGTCCCGTAGTGATCGATCTTTTCTCTCTCTCTTGGGCGCCATGATGCCATTAAGCAATCCACATAGAAGAGGAGCATGAGTGTTAACTTGCTCGTACATCTGCCCAAACTGCATATCGCCCAGTATACGCTCGTAGTCCTCGACTTTCTGTCCCTCTGGCTCTTTCTCCCTTCCCATGCCGGCAGGTGAAGTTCTCTCTTGGACACGGTCGACTTGGTAGGCACTAAACATACCTCCGGCTTCTTCCAGTGCCTTCATTTCCTTCCTCAGACCCTTTACAGTGACAATTCCTGTCGCACCAGACGCGGGGTGTTCTTGCAGCGCGTCTAAGACCTCTGGTTGACCGTAGACGGCCTCGGCGAGCCGTTTGGCACGCGTGGCAGGGCGCTCTCCATAACCACCAGACCCTTGAGTCGTCGCGTAGACATGGATAAATTCTCGTAATGTAATTTTTTTTTTCCGCATGAATTGGCATATCTCGTTTACTCTCTGCGCTTTACTGCGTCTTTGAGACCTTCT